TTTGAGTGTAATGTCAAGATGCTAGGAAATCGGGATTTTAGGAATATCGGGATTTTAGACGTCGAGATTTTGGAAGCCTCAGGGTTTTGGGAGTGTCGGGACGGGATCTTCGAGACGTTCGGGATTTTGGTATCTTCGGATTCGTTATTTCGGAATTTTGAACGTCGGATTTTGGGTAGGCTTGGTATAAACAACCTCCGCCTACTCAAAGTTTAATAATTCCATGCATGCATAATTCGTACATGTATTTTCGTTAACTTTAGTCACTATTAATTGATGTTGAAGGTTCAGTCCATATTTATTCTTAAGACGCTTTAAACGGGAGTGTTTGAAACTGGATTTAATCACTTAAATTTGCTTTTACTTTAATAGATCGTACTCTGCACTGAAATAACAAGTAAATTTATTTCGTCAAAATATGCAATATCAATATAGAAAACGTGAAGAGAATAAATTGGCAAATACTCTTCTGGAATTAGACATGTAAAACCATAGAAATAAACTAGTTATCTAATTATAGCTATTTGCTCAATTATGCAGCCATAGGAATAAAAATTTTTCGTTCAAAAATACGATAGTTTCGTAGATAAACTTTAGCATAGCTTTAAATACAATAAACTATTCTGAATCTGGAATTTCAGTAAAATAGACAAATATAAAATTATTTTAATAAAAAGCTTTCTTAAAGGAAATTTAATAATAAATTTAAAAATCTAAAAGGAGGAAAATTAATTACGTTTTATGTTAGAGATAGCTTCTATTCCTTTTTGCATTAATACAACCATTTTTGGCTGTAAAATTATACAATTTTTTAGCTTCGTTAAGATCTTTAGAAACACAGGTTCCTTTTTCATAACACATGACAAGCATATATTGTCCTACAGCATTTCCACCCTCTGCCGATTTCAAATACCACTTTGTATTCCGATTCCATTTCCACAACATACACCAAGTTGTTCTCAAATATTTTTTCCATCTTTGTGTTATGATTCCATATTCATAACTTACATCAAGATTAAAATTCCGCTACGTCTCCATCCTCTGCTGATTTCGAATATCACTCGAACACTTTCTCATATCTTCATGTTCCAATACCATTACATAGCACTAACCAAGAGCCTAATGTCCACGTTTGCTTCCATCTTCTGCTGATTTCAAACACCACCCGTATGCTTTACTCTCATTCTTTGCGTTCCGATCCCATTTAGATTACAAAGACCAAGAATAAATTGTCCACTCGAACTAAACTAAGATTACGTTATCCTATTGCGTCTCCACCTTCTGCTGATTTCAATACCACTCGAATGCTTTCCTTTCGTCTCTTTGTATTCCGATTCCATTTTCATAAAAAGTACCAAAGTTACATTGACTGAAGTGTTTCCGTTCTCTGCCCGACTTTAAACACTGCTGGAATTCTTTTTTCCTTCCTCACGTTTCCCGGTTTCATAAACCAAGATTGTATTATTCTCTTGCGTCGCCACCTTCTGCTTATTTCAAATACCATTCGAATGCTTTACTCTCGTCTTTTTGTGTTCCGATTCCATTTTCATAATATATACCAAGTTTACATTATCCTGAAGTATTCCATGTACTCTTCCTCTTCATCGGCATATTCTTCTGTGGTTTCAAGAGGAGTTGAACTCGAAGGCAGAAAAATCATTCTAGCTGTAGAAGACATACAGTAGTACCGGAAATTATATGGAAATTTTTAAATCACATTTTCTCAGAAACTGGTAATTCAATCATTTTAATTTTTTTTTATTTAAAAGAATAATAATACAAGTTTCGAACGAAATATAAATTAATAATTTATTCATTCACCATTCTCCCTAATTATCACCTCACATCTCCCCGGCATCGAATCGACTAAAGATTCTAATATCTCATCTGGAATTCATTCCCATTCCTCAACTATAAACATTTCCAACTTCTCTAAATCTTCGGACTCCAGTTCTCCACGTTTCTCTTAATAATTGACCACAAATTTTTGATAGGATTTAGATCGGGACTATTCGATGGCCAATCCATAATGACGGACGCATTACTTTGAAAAAAATCCTTCGCTAAACGACTTGTATATTTTGGATCGTTGTCCTGCTGGAACCGCCAATTGTTTTTCATCATTTCTTCGACCTCGGGAAATTGTTCTTGAAGAATTCCGACATAAAATTTTGCATCTATCTTTCCCACAAAGCAGTAAAGGCTTGTTTTATTGTGTACACAAAATCCACCCCACGCATGAATTTTTTGCTAGTTCTTAGGAATACGTCGAACGGGTCAGACATATTTATACCACTGAGTAATAGTGTTCCTAAATAGTTGAAAAGATGTCTCATCAGAAAAAAGCGTTTGGGACCAATCATCATTAAGATGTTTTTGGGTCCATTCGATTCTTTTTTTCTTATGATTATCCATAAGCATAGGTGTAGCAAGCAGGAGGGAATTTTTATAGCCGTGAGCAATGAGGTGAGTTCGAACCATTTCTCTTCCAACTACGAAACTGTTTTCTTTCAATTTATTGACTAAATCACTGACAGAAATTGTAGGATTGTATCGTATATGTGCACCTATTGCACTAGCTATCGAGCTGTTAATTTTTTTCGGTCTACCTTGACCTTTTTTTTGAGCCACGTTCCCTTTTTCTTTCAATTTTTTTAAGTTGTAATAGATAGTGGATAGGCCAATGTTTGTTCTTTGCTGTATTTCCCTGGCCGTCCTTACACCATTATTCCACAAATGTAGAATTACTTCACGTTGCCATTGTTTGTTCGATAATTCCATGTTGTGATGTCATTGCTGGTGAGAAATATAAGAAAAAAGATGGTTAAAAAAACAATGTGTTTCCCGAAATGCACAAAGTCTATTTACATACGCGTTAAATTTTTATTTGCTCTTGTGGTCGCATCGCATTAGATGATTTTTATCACGTAATAATTTTCCAAATAATTTCCGGTACCACTGTACTTTTCAAATTTGGAGCAGTTACACAATTGCGGATCAAAATTAATTTTAGCGGACAAATTTATCCGCTGGAGTTTTGTATGTCAATCAGCTGATGCATATACGTACAGTAAAAATAACTTGGTTGAACTTGTTTATACTCTTAATCCTAATTTTAAAAATGATAAACTGATATCTTAGCTTGAAATATAATGCTTCATTTTGTTAGAGTTGCTACATAACATGACAAAAATGATTTTATACATGTACACTCACCGGGACAAAAGTATCGAATCAAATGTTGATGTTACACAAAACGGTAAAGACTTTGATGTCTTTATCATACAATAAAATGAGAACATACTAACATATATTGCATAAATTTTATATCATTCGAATCAGAAAATCATAAATTTTTTATTGGCAACCTTAATATTGTGTTGCATTACCTTTACTTTTGATTACAGCCTGAACTCTTCGTGCCATACTTTCCACTAATTTTCTAAATAACTCTTATCTATTTTTACCTACTCTTCCTTCAAAATCATGAACAATTCCTGCTTATTTTTGGGATGAGGCTGTCTTTTGCGAACTGCTCTTTCTAAATAATTTCAAACATGCTCGATTGGGTTAAGGTCTGGGTCTGAGCAGGCCATGGAAGTGAAGTAATTAAATTTTCTTCTTTCCACTGATGCACCAGCCTTGATTGATGAATTGGGCAATTATCATCCTGGAAAGTGTATAAATTTAGTCCCAATCATTCAAGAATGGCAGGAGACTATTTCTAAGCAGTTCTATATAGCCAGCGCCATTTATTTTTCCTTCAATTGTGACTAAAGGTCCAGGCCTATTATTAACAAAACAGCCCCATATCATAACATCACCTCCCCCATGTTTAACAGTTGGAATAAGGCAGTCAACAGCATATTTCTCCTTTGACTGATGCCAGACTGTTTCATGAGCATTATTTTGAAATAGGCAGAAATGAGATTCATCACTCCAAATAATTGTTTTAAATTCAGCAACCCAATTTTGTCTATCTTTACACCAGTTGAAATGTTTTTTCTGATTTATTTCAGAAATAAAAGGTTTTCTTACTCCAACAAGGCTGAGAAAATCTAATTCATGAAGGTGACGACTGATTTTTTTGGAACTGACCAGTACAGTTGACACCTCATTAATTGATTGAGCGAGCTTGTCTATCATAATTTGCCTATTTTTTACTACCTCTTTTGATAATTGTCTAAGGTTATGCTTTGTCAAAACTTTTGGCTGACCATTTCGAAGTTTAATGGTTACCTGTTATTCTTTCCGAAATGCATCAATGGCTCGAAAAACCTGTGCTTGGGTGTGGCCAAGTGCTTCTGCAATCTCACGGATGGTTTTCTTGCACTCCCAGTAACCGATAATCCTACCTCGTTCAAAATCGGTCAATTCTCGATTTAATGGCATTTTTTGAAAATTACAAGTAATTACTAAAGTATTGATGGATTACAGGACAAAAAATTAACACGTTTAAACAAGTATTGAGCTCACAATCGTTGTTTCAAGTTTGTTTATGTTATTGATTTTTGTGTAACAGATCGGCTGATTCGATACTTTTGTCCGGTGAGTGTCATAAAAGACTTCTAACATGTACGCAAATGTAAATATAGTTATTTCATTATTGTAAGTCTTTGTTTGGTTATTGTGTCTACAATGACACTATATCTAGTATTTTTCTATAACGATAAGTGCTCATTCTTTTATCATTCCATCTATATGTATTTCGGCTATTTCTGATGCAAAGTGATTATTTAGACTTTGATTCTGTCTCTATGCTCCAAATTTTTTCATGTTTTATAGGTACAATTTACTAAATATACATGTATATAAATTTCCTGTATCCGCAAGATATAAATATAAGTCAGTTAAAAATTTATTCTTTCTCTAATTCGAAAAATATTTACTAGTTCCTCCGAATCGCGTTACTTTATTAAAAATATTGACATAATAATCTCAAATATCCAATATCTCTAAATATTACTCTACTATCCTATCTCGAATTTAATCACATAACGATGCAAGTTCGTCTCCTACGGTTGAAAAAGGTTCTTTGGGTATTGGCGTGTATAATAAACTTATATGGCTTCGGATCCAGTGCGGCATTTATTTACCTCATGTATGAAAATGTAATATTTTACCATACAGGAATATCCTTGATATTTATATTATATGCTCACATTTTGTCACTATAGTCGTTCAAATACTACCATAGCGATGCTAAAACAATATTAATTGTTTTCGCATTTACAGAAATATTAATTCGCTTTATGATTGTGGTAAAGATTCATAAGTATGATGAAAAGTGGAGAAAGGATCATATTTTGATTTTTGTAGGTATGTCTCGTTATGCATGATAGTTTGATTTTGCAAATGAAAAATCTTGAACTAGCTTAGTGGTTTGAATTCACATTATGTTTGATCTTATTAGTCAAGGAAAAATATTATTTTTTGAGAGAAACCTGGGGAACAGACGGAACTCAGAACGAGAAACAGAATGAACAGAAGTTTAAATTTGAAACCATCGGATTGTTGGCTAATTTTTATGCAATCGTGCAGCTCTTCTTGTTGTCTGTCCTTTTTTTTCAAAACATCAATGACTTTCAAGACGACGATCAAAGTAAGCTTAACAAAGCAAGTCAATTCATTGAGACTGAATATGACCAATTAGATAGGTTCATCAGTAGCCTTTTAGTCACGATGTGTATTGTAATAATCGGCGATTTTTGTGAAATGTTTTGGGATTTAATACTAAAACCAGTATGTAAGGAAGTTGCTGTTGCGGTTGTTAAACTACTGTATCTTTAGATGTAAGATCGTCATAATCATCGCCGCGTTTAGAACATTTATATAGTCTAAATAAACTCTACTATTATTATGAAATAATAATAATAGATACGTACTGTAAATTTGGAATTGAAATTAATTTTGAAGTAAACATTCGACTGTTGTAAAATCACTTGTTTAGACTTATTGCTTTTTTGTTTATGTTTTGAGAATGATTTCATCTCCTCATCAAGTTATAATTTCTGCTGTTCTAATTTAAGACTCTTTTCATCTTTTTTAGGATATTCTAAAGAGCTGGTGTACTGAAAATGAAATTTATTCTGTTTCCTTTCTCTATTGAGATATTCAATGAATTAGACAATACGGCGTGATAAAGTTCCTCAGTTGGTTAGTTGTTTTGAATAGAATCCGGGAACACTATTTTGTATGATATTAATGTTAGTAGATTACATGCATGTCAGGTGATGGTTGAGATATTGAATATTAGATGAGGTGCTTAATTGAATCTGAGGTGCATGTGCATGCATTTTCATTTGGACGGGCATGGACATGGACTGTGATTAGCATGGACAACTTAAATCATGTCCAGTATTGTCGTTATTATAAGATATGTACATTTGACTATGATCATTTCTTTGTTCAAAAATAGTAATGATGTTGTTATACATCCTTTGAATCAATCAAGATTTTGTAAAGACGACATGCGCTATTTGTGTGGTAAAGATGTTAAAAGTCTCACCGAAATTCCCATTTATAAATATCACTTGAAATTTTCTTTCATTGACCAGCTCTAAAAACAATAAAGTAAATTATTTAAAAGTGTAACAACAATATCATAATTATGAAAAAAAGTTAAAGCGATGAATTTGACTAGTCAAGAAACACATGTAATTACTTCCTATGCGGATTGGAATTGGACTTGATTATTTATACTGTATATGGTACAAGAGGAGCCCGGTAAGAAAGGCTCGGGGAAGTTCCAAATGCTCAGCTTAGGGATAGGAATCGATTCTGAGAATCGATAAATTTTATAGAATCGATTAAATCGATTCTCAGAATCGATTTAAATTTGAGAATCGATTAAAATTTGAGAATCGATTAAAATTTTAATCGATTAATTATGCATAAATGGTGTAACAAAATTATTAAAAAGAATAAACTAATGAGAAAATCTTCTTGTAAAAAACATGGCAAATGTTACAACTCGCTCTCGTGCATGACAACCTACTTTGTCATTTAGCAACAATATTAATAATACTCTAGTCTTTGATGATAACCAAGAAACTATTTCCAATACAGAGTTTAATGACTCTGATAGTGATAATAATGTCAATATTGATCCAAACTTGAATGATATTTACGAAATAACAGAAATAATGAAACAGATGACAATACTTCAATCATTTCTTTGCCACCTAGTATCTCTACAAATTCAACTAATTAAAGCATAACTTCAACAAATCAAAGTATAACTTTAACTATTCTAACAAAAAGAAAACATGAACTGAAAACTAAACCAAGAACCAGTTATGTATGAAATTACTTTAAACAAATAGCTTCTGATACTACTGTTTGTCAAGTACCAGGATGTGGAAGAACATTCACTTATCACAAAACCACTTCTACTATGAAATTACATCTCTCAAGTATTCATTATATTACAAAAACTGTCATTGAAAAACAACAAAGCTCTACATTATCCATGACTCAGACATTATTACCAAAAATTATAAGTGATATAATAAAAGTACCTTATAGTGCCAAACAACAAAAGGAACTCAATCAATATTTAGTAAAATTTATTGTGAGAACTGTTCAACCTCTCCAGTTGGTTGAAGCTCCTGATTTTCTTAACTTTTGTAAAAAATTATATTCCAAATATAAAGTTCCAGTTACAAAAACATTAAAAGATGAAATTAATTTTGCATATCATTATACTTATGATAAAGTAAAAGAAGAAATCAACAACAGTGCTGAATATATTGCACTTACTTTGGATTTCTGGAATTCTAAAGTATACCTATCTTATTTAGGAGTCACTTGTCATTAGTTATCATTTAATTTTGAATACAAAGAAATCTTTCTAACTATTGGAGAGTTATCATATCCACATAAAGCTTCTCAAATAGTAAAATATATGAAAAACTTGCTTAATATATGGAATTTAGAGTTTAAAGTCTTATCTATTACAACTGATAAAGCTACTAATATGAAAAAAGTAATTAGAGATCTCAAAGTTAGAACTTATATTTCTTGTGCAGCTCATACATTATAACTGTAACAAAATTAGATTAGTAATTAGTAATTATATAATATTTATCTTTTATTTCACAGATCATTGCTGTACCACATACTACGCCACACATGACTTACTGCGCCACAATCACCTGATCTTGCCAAGAAAAGTCACATGGTATATTTGAGTTATTTTAGCTATAGATA